CGTTTGTGAGAGAGAAAGGAGTCGAATCCTTCGCAAAGCAAAATTCATTAATATCTCCCATTAGAGAGGATTATCCCTGTGCTCTGTGACATCTGGCTGGAGGAGCTCCAAACTGTGTCCAGCTGGCCTTGACACGGTGAACCAGTAACTCAGCTCTGGCAAAGGAAATCTATGTCCAGCCTCCAGAAGGCTGCTTATCTTTAGACGTAATTATACATGCCAGAACTCCTAGGACGCCACGTGTAATTACCAGCTAAGTCTGAACACAGCCTGCAGGGATGGAGCTGCACTTAGTGAAAGTGAAACTGAAAAAGAAGTAAAAGAAAAAAAAAATCTCAGTAGTTCCTGAAAGACTCTAAACCAGGAGAAAAACACGGATCACTGTGACACCCAGGTAAAAAAGAAGAGAGAAAAACAGCTGTGGTTTAGAGGTTGATGCTCGGTCTGTATCTCCTCCTGCTCCTCCTGCTCCTCCTGCTGTGTCAAGTTATTTGCTCCTTTTTGCTAATGGCCTCCATAGAGATCTGTGTCAGCGTTGTAGGTGTAGAAGTCACCAGAGAGTTCTGTAGTGAATGCACCGATGGTTGTTGTTGGTACAGTTTGTTCGTCCACTGTGACTGGACTGTAGATGGATCGATCACTAAATAAAAAGCTTCGTGCGCATCATCGCAGTAATGGCTGCTGGGAGTTGGACATTTGACATCCTACATCCTGACTGGGTTTTGCATCTTTTAATCACACCTTGCATCTTAATCTGACTCTGTCATTTAGTCCAGTGTTTCCAAAATTATTATTGATTTTCTGGGGACCCATATTTTAAAAGTCACAAACCTTCGCGACCCATCCAAGTCCATAGACATTATTCGACCCAAAAAAAAATCTCGTGACCCACCTGAGGGTTGCGACCCAGTCTTTGGGAAACAATAATATAGTCCATGTCCCTCACACTAATCCCTTTGTCTTAACTCTCTTCTCTATCTTAGACTTTCAGTAAGAATAACCTTAAAGATAATGAAGGCAGGGTGCAGGTAGTTCCCATTCCACCCCTGTAGAGGGTGCCATGATTACATTTTTTCCAGTCCAGTAACAGCCTAAATGTCTGTTCTGCTCAAATCTGCTCCTCTAACTCGAACTGTCAAACAGTTTTTTATTTCCTAAATGAAAACGTTATACATTCATCTTGGGAGAAGAATTTCACTGGTTCTCTGGTTATAATCACTGCAATGAGCGCCATTAAGACAACATGCTCTGACAGAGTCACTCTTGTTAGTCATATAATGTTTAATTAGCATCTTGAGGCACCAAAAAAAAAAAAACATCTTAATCACGATCCGTCTTATTCTCTAAAGGTGTATGAAAGTGAAAGTGTTTTTTTTTTTTTTTTTGTTCCTTGTGTTGACGCTCAATCATCACAGTGACACGGTGCACTCCTTGTGACCCTGTCCTCAGGCTAATGTAAGGCAAAGCGTGTCCACTTACCTCATTTTACTCCCGTCCTCCCCCCGGTCCCCCGCTCATACCTCATAAATGACGAGCTGGTAATGGAGCCGGCGTTTCAAATAATGGATTGGACGAGTGGCGTTTAGCGACTATCGCCACTTAACAGCCCGTGCAGAGTCAAGTATAGAAAAAAAAGAAATTGTGCAGACAAGTGATGACATTTTTTTTTTTCTTTTTCATCACAACACCATCTGTTTGTGAATGTAACGTCTGACCTGTGGGACCTGAACCGTCTGAACCAGACGTTCAGGCCACTGTAACTGACAGACGAGCAGCACACACACACACACACAGGGGACGGAGACACGGGGGTGAGGAATTTGGGGAGGACTGTATTTTGTCACAAAGATGAGTAAATAAGAGGAGTAAATCCTTGTTACATGTCTGCTAATAACAAATTATCTCCGTCAGTTGCACGTTTTTATTGTTACAGATCCCTCATCCATCAATATTGGCCCCTGTTGCCTCAGGCAAAGAATTGCTTTTGAAATTACTTTTTCTCCCAACGCGTCCCTGGAGAGCAGGCTTAGGGGAGTCAGGCAGAGATGGGAATGGCAGCAAAAAAAAAAAAAAAACCTCCCCTCAGCTCAACCTCCAATGAGGTGTGAAGTTTACCAAAGTAGGGAAATATAGGCTCATGAAATTAACTTTTTTTATTTTTTATTTTTTTGCAAATTTCACAGCTAGCTTTAGTGTGCAAGGGTGATAGTCACTTAAAACGAATTTTTTTTTTTTTTTTTTTTCACACACCACCTAATCTGTCAGTGTCCAGTTACCGAGGTGGAAACTTCTTCATCTTCTCATTTCCACACTCTCAGTTCTCTTGAGCTGGAGCAGAATCTCTCGCTGTCCTTCAAAACACCGCGTCGGCAGCAGCAGCAGCTGACTGGGCTCAGCTGGAAGACATCTGAGGGTTTACTGACTTTTGTTGTGGCTGAATTTTAGAATGAAAAAAAAAAGAAAAAAAACCAGCTGTAGTGGAGAAGGGAGGTCAGGAGCCTGCAGTGGTGTTCTCTCCTCTCTCTCTCTCTCCTAATCTCTCTCTCTCCTCCCCTGGGTGTTTATAGATCCTTTTTATATTTATTTTTTTAAGTTCAGTCGGTGCTTGTGTTATTTTTCCCTCACATGGTTGTGAGATTTGTCTGATGGTGTCGGTGCAGTCTATCAGTGGCGAGAGCATGAAGGATCATGGGAGATATGATGCTCTCTTTTTAAGTTAACGTTACATGTGTCAGTTACCAAATTGTGAGTTACAAATTGTGAGTTAGGAATGATTTGAATTTGTCTTTGACTGCAAGGACATTGAATTGCTGAGGGAATTGAGCCGTTGTGTGTTTGTCCTTGACTGCAAGGACATTGAATTGCTGAGGAATGATTTGAATTTTGAAATTAAGCCATACAATCACCCAAAGTTATCACTGACAATATTTATATAGTGAAGGGAGAATATGATGTATTTTTCGTAGATGTTAAAATAATTTTGGATGAAGAGCAGAGCACTTCCTTTTTGCACTTCTCACTTGGGAAGCTAAATCATCTAAGATTCATATTCTTTAATAGAAATAAAAACGGTCACATCGTATCAGCAGTAATTGTGTGTGTGTGTGTGTGTGACTGACAGCAGTGACCCATTGTTTAATGGCCGCCAGATCAATACACTGTATCTGCTGCCAGCATGAGTGAGTGCTTCCCCGCCCAGAGCCCAGGTGATGTGTGTTCCCTGACAATAAACATTATCTGCTAATGCTGAACAGGCATTGTCACTCATTATTATTACTGCCCACATGATGCAGACATTAAGAGACTCGGAGGGTTAGGGGTGGGATGATTGAACAGATTTATCTCGGCCCACTGTCTCACCGCAGCCAACGACGCTGATGTACGGCTCCAGCGCTGCTGCGTGAGCAGAGTAGGAGGAAACGGTGAAGGTGCACGGGAGTAACTCTGTAATTTAGTCAAATCAATGAGAAGAAAAACATACATCAGCCGATGAAAGGAAAGGAAAGGGAAGAGGAGAGAAGGGAGAGTGAGTTATAAAATGTACGTGCAGTCGTTCTGAGTGGATGCCAGGGACGTTACGATGAGTGTTGCCAGCTCCCATCTGTGCTCTGTCAGAGCCAAACTCTACAACCGCACAACAAACATCTCACAGTGAAAACCCTGAACTGATTCAACTCATTATTTTATGGTAAACACCCATCACTGAATTAAGGACCTGCTTCACACATCAAACAGACGGATTCACCAGCAACGTCAGACTGAACACGTCATAACAGTTACACTCTGACAGGTTAATTACCGTATTTCACGGACGGTACGTCGCGCCGTAGTATAAGTCGCACCAGTGCCCTCTAGAGACTGTTGGTGTGAAAATGACAAACATGTACATTTTCAGTGGCAGATACTGGTACACAAGCCTAGAGTGCCCTCTAGTGGCTTTCTGTGTGTAAATTACGAACATATAATTTTCAGTGGTACACAGGGCTAGAGTGCCCTCTAGTGGCTGTCAGTGTGTAAATAACAAACGTGAGAAATGATATCTTTTAATATTAAATCGCACTTGAGTATATGTCGCAAAACCAGCCAAAGGATGAAAATAGAATGTACGACTTGTAGTCCGTTAAATACGGTAATAAAAGGAACAGTCCGTTAAATACGGTAATTAAATACGGGAATAAAAGAAACATTTTACTAAACTTGAGTTGTGTAGCGCTGCACTGCTGTTCTGTATTGTTGGTCATACTGGGTGTACTCGGAGAGACAAATATTTTCTGATGTGGTACTGGGTGTAAAAATACAAAACAACACAAAAATATGACATTTACTGCCGACCTTAGGAATAACTAAGATTCTTCACGGACTGTTTTCCCGGCGGTCCACTGGGAACAGGTTTTGCAGCATCAGGACCAGATCAGCAATGGTTTCATACACCAAGCCACCAGATTCTTAAACTCACGACATTAACCCCTCCCACTCTCTCTTATCCCCCCCCCCATCCCTCCATATATGCACGCAGCACATTCAAAACTGAACAATATATGCACAAAGCACATTTAGGAGCCATTCCTGGCCTGTTCCTAAATTACCCTATAGTGGGAAGCAGTGCAATATGCTGACACACACACACACACACACACAAAACACAAAAAGGTGTTTCTACATTGCTAAAGTATGCAATATATTTATATTATATTTTTTGTGCACTGGTTGTTGATCTTATTCTGTCTGTGTTTTTTGTCGTCTGTTTCTCCATCTCAGGTTGATGTTGTTTATGTTGAGTTACACTGTGTGGTTATCTCTGGTTGTTTTTCCATTTTTATACTTTAATATTGCCATATATATTTCATTATTGACGTGCACTGCCTGGTGTGTGTTCTGAGTGACAGTAAAGACAGGAATGGAATGGATTGGAATCGAACTCTCCTCGGTGTCATGATGTGATGAAATAAATGTCAGTATCTCAGAGTTGATGTTTCGATCTTTTACCTGTTCTCCTTCAGAGGCCTGCGGAGAAGTGCCGTTACGTGGTGGGCAGCATCCTGTGCGAGGGTGAGGAGAAGCCCGACGAAGAAGTGCAGAAGATGTACGAGAAGTTTGGCTTCAAGGTGTTTTCTCTGCCAGAAGTGAGCCACGCCGTGACCACCAGCTTCCCCTGCACCACGACTCTGTCCCACGTGCTGGGACCGTCGCGGGTTTATCCCAGACTCGCTTCTTACATCGAGGTACGTGAGTCACTCTGAAGTTTGAAGTCTTTTCTCTTGTTTAATTCATCACACGAGCGGCCGAGGTCTTTAAAGTAGATTAAGATTAAAGTGTAGAAATCGAAGGTATGTCGGAGCGCTACATCCCGTACGCCGATCTCTGTCTCCTCAGGACAGACCTAAAAAAAAAAAAAAAAAAAAACATTGACATTTACGGGTGACATTTACATGCCGGAAGTCAATGAGGGACGTCCCACCGCATGAATAATTCTCATGTGCGCTTGTTGTGTGAGTGCATGCTCATCCGTGCGTCCGTGTTTCTCCAGCTGTTTATTTAAACCTGTGCCTTTTCACAGAGCGTAGAAAGAATCCCTGCCACTAAACAGAAGGACACGTTATGTCCAGAAAACACCCTCCATGTTTTCACAATCAATTTTTACGGTTGAAATGGTCTTCACCGTTTATGGCAGGGGTGGATGGGGCTGTTAAAGTGCACTACGGTTGTTTTCCAATTCTGTTGTTTGGAATTGGCAGAACCTGTCAAATTTAGGAGTCAAACTTGAATGTATATGTGTATAAATAGATTTATACTCCCAGAATTTAGGAGTCAAACTTTAATGTATATGTGTATAAATAGATTTATATATTTTTTTAAATTTTATTTGTATTTATTTAGTTACAACGAAACTGAGCCTCTGCTTTTAACCCATATGTATGCATATACATATGTGTATATTTATGTATATATGTATGCATATATGTGTATATATGTTCATATTTACATATGCATACATCTATATATATATATATGTAAATATGCATGCATATATGTCTATGTATGTATTTATATGTATGCACATATATATGTGTATATATGTTTATATTTACATATACCTATATGTATATTTATGTATTCACATACAGGTATATGCGTATATATGTATTATGTATATATGTATGCGTTTAGTCATATACATATGTGTATATATGTATTTGTTTATGTGTGTGTGTTTATATGAACTATATATTCACAATAGCCAAAAAAGCCCTTGCAGCAACTTTGTACAACTGTTAACTTTGTACCTTTTTTAAAGTTTAAAGCATTTAAACATTTTCTTCTTTTTGATCAGTTTATACAGTAGTAGTATTTGGGATCATGATCCTCTAAGAGAAGTTGGCAGCTCAGTTGATCGTCTGTTTTTCATTCTCCGTCTTTGCCTTTTGGCTCTCCTCGTTGTGAAAAAAGCCTGCACCAGATGGCAGGACCACGTCCTAACATGTGCACTGACACAGGCTAAATGCTCTCAAGACATGGGCTATAACATCCAGCTTTGTTCACATTTAGCAACATTTTTTTTAGCTTGTTTTTTTAGGGTCTAGTGCTGTTACATAACAGCGTCTGTGTGCGTAGTTCTGTCAGCTAGCATGGCCTGTTTGTCAGGAAAGCTGATGTCAACTGAAAGAAAGCATCAGTTTTTACTTTCTGCTTCTTGTCTGGAGACGGAAGCACTTGTCGCAACCCATCAGCTGACCCGAGTGTTTGTGACTGGTTGTTAGGAGGTGTGCTTGAACGGCGGATATGCTAATAACACACACACACACACTGACAAAAAAAAAAGAAAAAAACAGTTCAGTTGTGGAGCGTTGAGTGCACCATGTTATCCTGCCACAGCAAGACTAATGAATAATGGAGTAGGATTTGGAAAGGATGGTATGTGGATGTCTGCATAAAAACTGTGCGTATGATTAATTGAGTAGGTCTGTAGTGTACGGTACTTTGAAAAGAGGGAGACACGGGCGTGACGTAAACTGGTGCTCCACTGTAGCTGCTCTGCTTTTGTTAGATATATATATATACATACTGTATACATATATATGTATGTATGTATGTACGTATATAAATGTATGTATATACTCTATATATATATTATGTATATGTAAATATATAGTTGTAAATGTAACTGGCCACTGTAGATTATGATTATATACATAGAAATATATTTATACATAGTATATACATACATACATTTAGGTTACATACATATGTATATACAGTATGTATGTATATACAATATATATATATTATATAATATATATACGTATATGTATACATAAATATATTTACACATGTATATATGTATATGTTAATATATTTGTAAATTTAACTGGCCACTGTAGGTTCTCATTATATACATATAACTATATGTAAATATATAGTTGTAAATTTAACTGGCTACTGTAGGTTCTCATTATATACATATAAATATATTTACATATATGTATATATGTATCTGTAAATGTATATTTGTAAGTTACACTGGCTACTTATAGCCAGTTGTATATGATCATCATTGTATATGATGTAGGTTCTCATCTTTTTACTGTAGGTTCTCATTATTCCAAATGACCCACAGCAGGATGGCGAGGGGTGAGTCGTGTCAAAGGCAGTGGGTGAAACGGGGAGACATAAATAAATCGTCCGTCAGACCATAATGATTTGGTCAAACTCCATTTGTGGTAATTCTGTCCAACGTAAGTGGAGGCACCTTTTTAAGCGTAAAAGCAGAAAGTCTCCCATTTCTATGTGGCTTCCTCAGACCCATCCCTGAAGGTCCCTGAAGGAAGCTTCAAACCTCATAAAATCATCATTGTTTTCCTTCTTTATGGAGCATGCCATAGCGTTGTATGCCTTTCAGGTCCCAGAGCAATTAGAGCGCTGAGTGCATCCAGAAAATATACACACTCCTTCACATTTTGCTCATATTGTCTCTCAGCCAGGCGTTACTAAAGCCACCAAACCTCATTTCCTTTATCGTCTCCTCTTATACCTTCATGTGACAGCAGTGAAACGAGGACTTTAGAAACATTTCTTTAGTTTAAAAAAAATCAAACAAAACAGGTCCTTAAACATGACATTTATGTGACCTTTCGGCATTTTTATTTTGGGCCGTTTATTCTTATATTTTACCAGGAATAATCCTTTAGGAATCACTTAGTGGCATAATAGTTCTACATTAAAACAGAAGGTAAATCAGACACTAAAAAACTTAATTTCCATTACATTTAACTATAAGACATCTACATAAAAACAGACGGTAAATCAGACACTATAAAACTGAATTTCCATTACATTTAACTATAAGACAATGTAATCATCATCAACATTGAGTGCGTGTGTGCATTTAGTAATTAATTAGACATTTCCAGAAACTTTGTCCCATAACTTTCTTAGTCCAAAGTATCACAGCCATTTCTTATTTTTCTTCTACTTTTTTTAAAAACATTTTTTTATTTGACCTCTGGTAGTTGAAGTTTGTATTTTATGGACTTTTATAAACCTTTTTTAAAAAATGTTTTATTCTTGATCCTGATAAATATTTGCTCCTTATCAAAAAGTTATTTTTGATAAATTTGTATCAAACTTGTATTAATCATTTTTATTTTTGAATGAACGCTCAGACCTTAACACACAAGTCAAAAGCATAACTGTAAAAACACACATTATTAGTATAATTTTGACCAGTGTTGTTTTTTGTAGAAGAAAATACATCATTTAAACTTCTCTTTAAACATAGTTTTTGAAAATTATCTGGACTCTATTGAAAACATAAGGTGTGTCTAATCATTTCTCCTCAGCTGTAAACTGAAAATTGCGTAGCCTGCCTTTAGTTCAGAGCGTTGAGTCAGAGAGAAGCCGAGGGCTGCATTAGACACAGGAGCAGCAGGTTTTTTCCTCCTCGTGACGGACTCTAATTTGTTCTTCATTTAACTTTTCCAAACTGGATTACCTGGCCATTCATTTGTACTTAATGAAAACTTTTGTGCCTGCAGTTTGCAACTTTTTTTTTTTTTTTTAAACCACCAGAAGGAACGCCACGACGAGGCCTGATTCGATGCACCTAAAAATACCCAGGGGCCAACTGGCCCCAGTGAGATACTTATGGTTATAATTAAGCTCCATGCAAGTGTAACGGATTAAAACAAATTTATTCAGTACATAATAATTGTCCCTCTTCAAATGGCAACGGAATTAACTCCAAGCCGTCGCGTCTTCAGGTTGAATAACACCAATTAAAATGAAGGATGATGAAATTTAACCCAAAAAAAAAAAAGTTTTCTTTTTGTTTGCTGTGAGAACTTATAATGTCAGAATCCGACTGCAGCCTGTGAGCAAACACAAAGTTCACACAGTTGGTGCAGGTGTGTACTGTATTTGTGCTACAGGCGTCTCTGTTATACAAAAAAAAAAAACAATATTTATTTTGTCATTTGAATTCGTGTCTCTTGCATGTCGTATAACTCGGGGAAAGCTAAAATAAAATCTACATCCAGGAAACCTCGGCGCTCCGCCGCTCGGTGTTGCGGTGTCCTCACTTTAATTTTGCTCATGGTTTATTCACCAGCCTCTCTCTCTCTCTCTCACACACACACACACACACACTTCTTGGGATGTTATTATTTGTTGAATTAAATATAGAAAATTTTTATTTGCTTGTCCACAACATTTATATTTCATGCCATAGCCTGATTAGGGGTCAGGAGGTCAGGGGGTGCATCTGTGGGGTAAACAGCAATCAAGATGGCCTTCACTCTGTTCAGGTGGCTCCTAACGGGGGGGGGGGTGGGGGGGGGGGTGTTCAAATGTGGCATTATTTTGGGAATAACTGTCACCTAAATGTGTCAGGAACCATGTAGTCGTACTGTAACTGAGGCTGCAGTTTTTTGTTTTTTTTTCTCCTCGAGCTGCAGTTTTTTCTGCTCTCTTCAACTGTCTGTCCTGTCAGAGGCTGCGGGTTTGAAACCGCAGCATAGGCTGCTAAACAAACCATGAAGCTCAGTATTTGGAATATGTGTCATATGCAGTATATTTTAGTTGTTCTGCTGGTTGGATCATTTTGTTTATGTAAATTGGATTTTGAGCAGTTTGTTTACATTGACAGGTTACTGTAGCTGGAAATAAAAAAAAGAGAGAAATACTAGGGCTGTTAAATATTTAAAATTTTGAACTGAATAAATCACTA